GGTTTGTCAACGCCCACTGGACAATTTTCGCTAAAGGATGTCGTTTATCAGGATGCTGGTACATACAAATGTATTGGGCAATCGCCAACAAATAAGAAAAAATTGGAAGTACTGCAGACCGTTGGTGTGTTAGTTAAAGGTGAGTCATTTCACATTTTTAACTCAATTTGAATTTCGTTGATTTAATTTTAATTAATAGCAGAATGAAAACTCCTTTCATCAAATGATTCAATCACATATATTATATCTTTTCTGATATTTAAATTGAAGGCAGTGCTTTCTGATCTTTAATGATAATGAGAATAATAACACAATTTAGAATTAATTACTTATTTTATGATTTCACGTGTAGATTAGGAGTTTCTTTGTGTACAAAACAAGTGTAATAGATTTTTTCGTTATGCTATATAAAATATAATAAAAAACGGTTCCGAGGGGGAAGAAGTCTTGCCGAAGAGGGGGTGTTTTAGTCCGTACACTACATATTAATGTTAGGGAGTCGGACACACTATTCCAACAACGGTCGGTTTGACGGCCGAAGTATACTTCATTTTAAAATAAGATCTCGCAGCGATTACTGCATAAAGATAATGCAGCTTAACTATTCGATGAGAACAACTCTCTTCATATAAATAACTTTCATTTAAGAAATAGTATGAATATTCATCTAGAACCAGGCATTTTTTGTTTAAAGTTTCGCAACAATATAGTTTTCAGTGACATCTTTATCATTTCGGAACTTATTTAGTACAGTGAATGTCTCCTCTTGTGTTAAGGTAGGGTAGGATAGGAATGGTTTTTGACATCGTTAATAGATCCTCAATTAGTGAAACTGTACTTAGTATTTCATTTGTTATATATTTGTACATATTTTTCTTGTTCACTGTATGTAAATGTTTATATGTATAATGCACATATAATGTATATAAGAAGGCAATGTGAATATAAACAATTAAGCGTAAAATAGCTTATTTAAGCAATAGTATGAGTTAGTTTAAGTCATTTGTAGTTCAACATCTTAAATATTTTTTATGTTTATTGAATCTTTTCATCAATATCCTGAAAGTTATACTAGATATTAATCACAATACCCAGCATTGTGATTACACATATCCTTGCTTTACGGATTTTGTCAGCTTATCTTCTGCTCTTCTAGTGCCTGTTTGTTTGTTTATATCGCTTTTATGTTTTACCTTCTCCTTATTTTCACTCTACTTCAGACTTTAAGATTTTATTTCTTACCTGAATGACTCAATTGCAGTCCTTGTCGACAATGGCTGTGAACTCACACCTTTCCTCCTTCATATGCTTTGTTTGGTATTTTGTTTGGAAAACACTTCACTTACACATTTGGTTGATATTTTCTTGTCTTGTCTTTTTACCTTATAAATCCGGTATTGGTTTGCTGCATAAGTTTGTCATCACACTTGCCTGGGTGTCTCAGCATTATATTCTCACTGCTTGAACATTTGGACATATTATGTATAGTGTGTTGGCGCCCCTTTGGTTAGACGCTGCAAGGCATCGTTGCAGCACAGCAACAATTTTGTACTTTTATTTATTTAATGCCACTTACCAAGCTTATTGCACCATAACTGTTTCGCCACGAGTATGTCTCTCGACACACCCACACAACCACACAACCGCACAACCACATACGCCCACCTGCATTCATTGTCATGACAGATAAGTTGTTGCTATACACTTTGGCATATTTGTCTAAGATTTCGATTATTGTTGCCTTTGTAGTTCGCATAAGCAAATTGTACACATTTAATGGTGTCTCATGCATAGTCAAGTATCTGCCACTCTTCCAGAAAACTTCGTATATCTTCAGTTCCAGCTGCTGTGTTTGCATTGCACTCCGGGGAATTTTGACAACTCGGTCTGTGTATTTGACAGTCAACTAACATTCTTGGTTTGGCTTGGGTTGTCTCTTTTGCTCTTTCACTTGTTTGTTGTTTAGTTATGGCTGCGCTTGGCTTTAGTTGATAACTCGCTTAAGCAAACGTTTGTAAATGTCATTGCCACAAAGACGTACGTTCTGCTTGTAGTTGCCACACTTCGAAGTTGTTGCATTTATCGTTATTAGTATTAAGTACTAAGGACTTAACAGTAATGAGTACCTACAGCTTTTCCAATTGCTGCAAATGTCCTGTAATTGTGTTACAGACGAATGCGCTTTACTCTACTTCGCTCAAAGTGAAAATGATAAGATTTTTGAAAAATGGCTGGAAAATAGAAGAAGAATAAGTAAATTACCTGTGACAAGTTGAAACTGACTTATTGTAGATAAGTTATTTTGAAACTCATTTAACTTCATAAATCAACTATAAGCAAATTCCTCATCTGCCAAGCTTCATGACTTGACATTTATCTTATTGGCAATTTCTTCAATATTTCAAATTGGAATTCATATCTTATTTCAGTTATTGCTTTTTTTGTTAATAATTTTTGACACATTTTTACATTGCAATTTTTGATTGGATATTTTAAATCTAATCATCAATCATTCGACTTGTGGCAACTGCCATAACTGGTCATGCAACCGAAAATCAAAATTTAAACAGTAGACATGACTGTTAGTTGACTACGAAATAATGAATTTGTTTGATTTGGAACCAATTTATGTATCTTTCATTAATATCTTATTCACTCAGCACTCTAAACTATCACTTTCCACAAAGCAATTTGATCTTAAGAATCTTCAAATGATGTTTAGCAATAGAAGTGTTAAGTGCGTACACTCAACAATTTTTAATATAAATAAATATATAAATAATTATTTAAAAACCTTATACTAATCTATCTTTTTATTTCAATAATACACGGAATAAAATTTTAACCGTGTGTATTGAAGAATTAAGTCAATTAAAACTCCAATAAACAAATAGGTTCAAAGTCAGCTGGTAACCGTGAGACTAAAGAGTTTGTTTCTCCTTCCAACTTCATTGAAATATCTCTTCTCTTCTCTCCAATAAAACATTGGTAAGCCTGTTGTCAATTTGTCTGGCGGGTTACTTTGTTCTGCGTCATCTTCTCAACATAATAAGCCTGCATTAAAAGACAAAATTAAAGTTGTACTTTTTGGAGGTACATGATACATGATAAAATATGAGATCGACTTCTAGTATTTTCTATGCATCTGTTCTCATAATATGTGAGTGCATCTCAAAGACATAGAAAATATTTTATTTATATTTTAATGTCCACAAATTACAAATAATTTTTTCCATAAAATAGTTTATTCAATTCACTCACTGCGTATTATGAATAAAATTTAAATAAATATGTAAATGTAAATTAAAATATTTCTTTTCTTTTTATTTAAAACTTTATTCGAAATTATTTTAATAACTGCAACAGCAGAACAACAATTAGTTATGGTTATAAAGTCACTCAGTTGTAAACACCTAAAATTATGCTACAAAATTATTTCAAACTTCTAGACAAACTGCTAACTTACACAGAGACGAATTAAGTTATTTGCAAGTTTACGCTTCATGTCAACTAATTACGAATGCATAAATCAAAAATCTTTTGTGAAATTCCCTGAACTACTTCAGCTTTTTACCAAAGCAGCTAATCAACATTACTGAAAACATCGCATGCTCGCACACAGGCATACACGCACAAATACACAACGCAAACAGATGCATATACTCTGACATTTAAATTTTTATACTAGCAACAGTAGCAGTATACGAGCACTAATACTACAACAACACTAGCAACAACGGAACTAATGACAACAATCAGAAAATCCTTTCTGACATTTTAATGCGAAAGTTTAAATGAAGTGGGGAGACTTGCCCCCAAAAGATGCAAGCTTCTGACGCATTGCATTTGCTACTTCAGCCATGGCTGAAACTTTCGCTTTGACAAAATACGAGTATTGCACCAAAAGGCAATGGCTGCTTTCTTCTGTTGCCACTCTTCTGCTCTTTATCGGGCCTTCCTTATTCCTTCGGCTTGTGTACTCGTTCGTAGTTACTTAATGCTTAATTAGTAAAAAAACAAAGTGCAAAGTATTTAATTTGTACGCAGCAATTTTATTAGTAATAAGCAATCACAAAAGCTTGAGAGTAGCTTCTGCAAATATTTGTTTTTAAGTATCTTAAAGGAAAACAACTTTTGTTCCTCATCCCCAATTTCACTACTGAAGCTACTCTATGGTAACCCTGGGAACGAAAGTTATTCTATATTATTTTTAATAAATTTGCTGAAGTTAATAAGCCAACAGAGAAATTACCCATAAAGGAAAGTGAAGTGCATTTGCAATATTGGAAAAACTTTTTGATTGCAATTTGAAGTATTATCATTTGATCTGAAGACAATGGAAGAAGAGTAAATAAACTGAGTCCGTCACACACACATAAATAACTAACAGATAATTTATTCTTTTTAATGATAGCTTTTTCATTTACTTTCTTATTTACCTGTCATGCTATGATAGTAACCTTAATAAAAACTTGAGGTAACTATGTGTGTGTAGGTGTGCAAAAGCCAGAGAAACATATCCAACTATGACTACTGACTCTGTACTTTTTCCTTTAAATATGATTTCTCTCTTTCACAATTTCCAATTGCTGATGCTACTCAGAAAACAGAGCATTGACCATATTTTTATCATTAAAAAGTTTATACCACAAGTCTTACTTTTAAGATTGATATTCAACAATAACGCATTAACTCACTTTCAACAAATTTACCTATCCATGGTTTAGTTCTAGCATCTTATCATAGATCCGTCTACAAATGCCATGAATAACATGAATAACAAATGAACAATAGATGCCAAGCATCTATTTAGATCTATCTCTTGACTTAAGGGGTATCAGCTCAAAAGTTGCAAACTTTTTATACTGGTCCACTTAATTAATATATAACTAATACCATATATAAAACTGCTGACTATTGATAAAATGATCAATAAAAACTTTTTCGGATGACTACTTTTTTAATTTTTAAAAAAATTCAAAAATTTTAAGAATCCCGTATTTAAAAATTCGTTAAACGAATATAAAATAAACATAATTTATTTTTTATACGAAAACGCTCCAAATCAGTCAGTGACAGGACGATCCTTATCTATCATATCGAATTCATCAATATTGCAAGGATCCCTTCGTCTTAGATTGAGTGATGATAGTGCACTGGTAATGCTACAACTTTCCATATCCTCACATGGTATACATTCTTGTCCACCCTCTTCTTCTTCCATATCAATCAAACACTCAACACTTTCTTTGAGTTGTTCTTCGGAAGGCTTTGTAGTTAGTGAACAACTAGATTCATCAGAGTCAGGGCGAGGTAATGGTATTGGATCTTGTGGTATTTGTGAATAATCATAAGCGCAAATTTCTTGTGCATTCCATTCTGTTGGCAGTAAAACAAGTTCCTCACCAAAATCTTCTGCCTCACCTTCAGCATGTGGATGTAGTTTACTTCTTTGCACTTCATCATAGTTTGGTGATTGAAAAAAGCCAACAGTCATATTTTCGTGATTATAATTAAGTACTGTGGGCCCAATAGGATAATCTATACTAAAATTGCCATGTACTATGAGTTTGCGATCATCAGAACCAATATACAATTCAAATGGACCAAGACGTTCGTTTTGTTGAAAAGTACCCTTGAAACACATGGGCGTACATTTCACTTTATCATATTTATAAATTCCAACACCATGTTTTTCATTATTTATCCACTCGCCATAATATGAATCACCGTTGGGATATGTATAACGCCCCTTACCATGTTTCACACCCTTACGCCAACAACCTTCATATAGACTTCCATCAGGGTAGAAGAAGGTGCCAAATCCACTGCGATGACCTAAATACACGGTTATATTTATTTATATATAAATTTAAAATATAACAGCAGTTCCATAGAGTTTACCATGGCGATATGCTTATAATATGCTAATCATGAATGTAAAATTTACCACAACGATAGTTGCCATAGTAACGTGCTCCATTAAGAAAAACATATAATCCTATTCCGTGTCTTTGGCCTTTACGATAAAAACCATCATATTGATCACCATTTGGAAGAATCGCCCAACCACGACCATGTCTTTGACCAGCTGCATTGCGCCCACCAATGTATAACTAAAATACAGAATATAAAATGATAGATTTTTCCACTTTGGGATAACTTACACCTATATTTGGAATCTCCGGCGATTCGTAGTCAGTGACGTAGGAATCTGTCTCTGCTATATTAGAAGTCATTTTTGCTATATCAATTCAAACTAAAGAAATATACAAAAAATGTTTGTTATAATTATTCAAATAAAATTATGAAATTCTTCAATGCTTATTTGATGCCAGCTATTAGATATACTTTATACTAGTATTATAGAAACATAGATTCAGAAATTATTCAATACTCAACATGCTATGAAGATACAATCTATCAAACTTTCAAGGATCAACTTACATTTGATTATTCTAGAAAGTAATTAATTACTGCAGCAGTTCTAGAAATTATTCCGTTCAGATGATGCATTCCCATTCCAGAATCAGGGGAGACGTAAATTGAAGCTGAGTATTTGTAAACGTTGTAAAACAGGGGTGATGAAAATACCTAGCAAACTATCGAGGGATGGAGACCACTAACGGTATACACTATGGTAAAGGTTCTAAAATCCACAATTGCATAACGGGATGGAATGTGGGGAGCGAGCTATCTCATCAATGTAATGAGAAAGGGTTTGAAGGGGCCTGTGAAATAGCGCTTAAAGAAGCTCAGAAGGAAGTTCATCGTCATGGAGATTTTCAGGGGGGAGATTGTGTCGACGGGTTATATGTCTGCGTACAAGTGAAAGAATGTACTCATCAAGTCTTTCAATCATGGCAGTGGAGTGCAGTACTCGACAAGAATGATGATGCCCATTGGGTTTGCGTCTGTAGTTGATACAATCGCGAAGGATTTTTCTTTCAAGGACTCGTAGACGTTCCATTTGCCATAAAAATCACGGCTTGTCGTTGAGTTATATACGACAGTAGATATGTATGAAAGGTTATTGTAGGATATCTCAAATGCTGTTGAATAAGTAATTCAACCAAAAACTAAGTGTATATCTTATGATTCAACTTTATTGAAACTTTTAAATATTTTTATCAACGAATTATAATTTTTAGTGCATAACCGAAAATGTCTCCGATTTAACATAATTTCGGCCTTCATTGACATCATTTGTTCATGCTGACTTATGATTGAAACATTAACGGCCAGAATTATATTGCCATATATCACTTTGATTGCCATAAATAAATTCAACTGAATTGCCCATAATTTCTTGAAGCAATTAACGGTTTTGCATATGCCAAATTTTAAACCAAATAATCTCTAGAGCCTTGGCTTACTGTTTCTCCCTTCTAATGCTGCGAATAGCTGTGCTATATGTCGGATAAATTGGCATTTAAATTAATAGCCCAGAGGAGACAATCTTCAAAAAAAAATATGCATAAAAGCGAGCATAATGTAATGAAAGAAAAATTTAAATTACGTTGTCAAAACATTCTAAATATGTAAATGCGTAGATATACGAGTATAAATGTATCTATGTGCGCAGGAATCGAGCCAAATAAAAACCAGACCAAACCAAAGTGAAACAAACCATACCCAACAGAAGGCAGCCCCACATATTTTCAGGCCTAACCGCATACGCATATAAAATTCCTAAACAAAATTTACGAGTGCGTGCCACTGAGTCTTATTATTTAATTTTTCTTCTCGTTCTTGGAGGATTACTCGTTACTCATCAAAGCAGCAGCAGCGAAAAGCACACTGGCAGTCGGAAAAGAATTTGTGGCAAGCGAATGAAAAAAATAACCCTCAGACAGCCAGTTTACGGAACCAAATTAGTGGATTCGGGCTGAACGTCCCATGTACTCTCCTCGTGTATTTTAAATGAATTTCAGTTTGAATTTGAATTAGAATTTGAAGTTGAAGTTGAAGTTGAAGTTGAGCGTGCAATATGAATATGGTAATGAATGTGCTGAGAAATTGATAAGCGGAAAGTTGCGGGGAATTATTAGAAATAACGATGATTATTATGCCGTATCTGTATCTCCGCCTGTTTGGGTTCTTGGCATTAATAGCAATGTTGATGGCGCATAACAAATATTTATGCCCACATTGAAAATGAGTTTTTAAATTTTTCTTTTATTTTCCTTTTGATTATTTAATAAAAATTCCACAAAACCATCACCACAAAGTCATTAATATGCATACTGTAAACATGGCTAGAGAAGAAATACAAAATCGTAACATACATTCAGGGGTATAAGTAGTAAATAAGTAATAAGAGCAATGAAACAATAAGCCAAATTATTTCCAAATTTTCATTTTTTTTAAGTATGTGTTATGGTTTATAAATGCTGTAAAAACTTCATCACATTTAATTTACAATATTTTATGTTCACTTTATGGGTGCGTGCGCCTAAAAACACTGTTTCATGGTTACGCTATTTCTTCGGAGCGTCGCATGGACTTGTTACGAAACTTTTAGCAATTTAAGTTTATGAAAATTATTAAGCTTATTAGATGAATTATCGCACGTGACTTACCCACTTACCTTCTTGCTTACTTCCCGACGTCCCGACTTGCCGACTTCCCGACTTATTTACTTATACACTTTTACTTTAAACTTTATAAAGTTGACAGCATTGTGGATTAGTCCAATTTTCTGTCGAAAGTTTATTATTCGTAGCAGAAACGCTGAAAGGTCATAGGGTCTGCTTGCATTGAGCAAATACACCGGTTACACTTAGTAACACATTTTTAAATTAATTTTTAATGAGTCACTTTTCAAAGTCAAAACTTATTTTGGAACGTGAGAGGGTCAAGTTTTCGTTGAGCTTTTTTTTCATCATCATCGAAAATTCATTGTTCACACTTTTGTTTTTTTTTAATCGCCAGCAATTCATTCTTTATGGTAATTAACACATAAAATATGTGATCTACTTCACAACGAAATGATATATTCAAATTAAATAATGTTTTCGATATTGAAATGGGAAATGTAGGTATATTGAAGCAACTTTAGTAAAAACTTGCCGAATATTAAGCGCACTTCAAAGAGTATATTAGTATTTAAGGAAGATGGCGATGAACATAGAGAGGTGTCGAAGTTAGTGTCAATTAATATCTTAAGTTTATGCTATGTGTGAACACAGTGTTCGTTCTCTTACCAATGACTTTAAAGTTCTGTGAATAATGATACAGTCCCTGTTTATAAATTAACCAGACCTGATCTTGTTCTATGAACGACAAATCGTTTATGATGTCACAAATATTGTCAGTACTTGTGCCTATTACTGTACATCCAAAAAAGTAGAGATTCTTGTCGTTGCTAATAAGATCCCAGGAATCGTTCTTATTGAACAACGGCCAAATTGACACATATCAAATTGTCACATATATTATGATTGACTTATACCTTTTAGAAGCTATCCAATGAAAGTGGAATTGATACTTCTACTATCAAACGCTAATTAGACGGAAACCATATCAACATGTTGTGAGTGATGTACACCTTATATTAGTTAGCTTAATAAAATGGAAGAAAGTATGCCTGTCAATAAGTTCCTAGCACTTTATTTTATTGTTCTTCAAGTGAAATGTCAGAGATGTCATGAATAACTATAATTTCTTATTAGTTAGCTGAAGAAATTTATGACAGGTGCCTTACTTAAGAGCCGCCGAGGAAAGGTAAGCTGTTAAATCTAAAAGAAATCTATAGAATCACCAAGTTAAGCTAAACCTTTTTATTTTTTTATCTATTCAATCTTCTTATGACCGAAAACCCAGATATGCGTGATGTTACTGAACTTTTTCAGCTGGACGATATCCGCTTTTCATCAAATTACTAGTTTTAATTTAAAGATGAAAGACAGATTAACTATAATTACAGCTTGACAGCCAATGAAAATGGCTATACTTATAACTTTGTACTTATCTCTGATGTGGTTTGTTTTGGAAGGCTTAAAATTGCTTGATGGTAGATTTTGCTGTGCATTGTTTGATCTGCTAATTTTTAAAAATATGAGCGCTTCCCTTTTTTGGATTTAATTAATCCATCACTGAAACTAATCAGTGATCTTATCTAGGGAAACGTATCTAGCATATACTGCGCCTCTCAGTTAAATCAATTATACAGAGTAAGACGCAAATATTTTTGATCATTACTGTTCAGATAAAATCAATATTATATAATAAACACATTTTCGTGCAGTAATCATAGTTTCACTCAGATAGTTTTAATTTAACATGAACCCCGGTCAGTGTACTGTGTCACTTTTCAATTAAACTGTATTAAGGATGATTGAAAAATAACTACACTTGAAAATGTTATTGACTTTTGAAGCAAAAAATTACTTTACTTTAAAATTCATAATCGCATTTTTCGTATGGAGCAGCCGTCAGAAAATAATCAAGCTGGATTGGCATAATAATTTATATAATAACCAATTCCATCCACTTTCATGCATAAATAAAGTAAAGTTAAGTGGCAAAGAGCAGCAAGGGTAATGCAATAGCAACTACTCAAATATTTAAAATCGTATTCCTTGTCGTGAATAAAAATAAAAATAAAAATCAAAATTTATATGCCACATGCCGCGTAACCAATTGCAACCCTTAAAAAGTGCTACCCATGCACTACCACCAATTGCACCCCGAGGCGGCCGCATTCTATGGTTAACAGCAAACACACACTGCGTGTAGTTCCTACTACGTCGAAATTACACTAAATTACGAAAGTGTGTAACTATAGCCTATTTATGTGTCGTCGTGCCATTGCATGGGTGCATGGGTGCACGGTTGCCTTGTTGCCTACATCCACGTATCTGTAATGGGTATATACGCCTGTACCGATAATGCAATTTGTTGCAGAGAAACATTTCACAGTTTATGCTGTTCCTGCCACTACCCCTCCACTACCCGCTTCACTTCAGCGTACCACCAACAGCGGTTCTTTTATAGTACTTTCACAAGTACTTTATTTTAGCGCATACGACTAATAAACATGGGTGCAACCCTTGCCGTTCTACTTTGCTTAATAACACAATAATTTCATATGAAATCGCTGGTAGTGTTGCCACTTTGTCTGGTGATTTTGTCGCTGCACGTTACTTGCTGTTACCTTTTGTCATTGAAGGCAAATTGCCTGTTACTTCCTTCTTCCGCTTTTTGAGTTGCTAACAACACTGCTACACTGTTGCCAACATTGTTTCAATTTATGAGGCACCAATTACTCTGCTCTACCATCTCACCCCGCACTCGATGT